ATGTTGAGTTTTAGAGAAGCATGAAGTAGTTTTCACAACGCAGCATCATTTGGTTTGCAGCATGAAAGGCAGTCTAGACTTTAAATACATAAGCAATTACATCTTGATGTCATTGGGAGATGTACTTGTGCTGCTTTAGTCTGGGTAGTAAGTAGTTTGATGGCAAAAAATGCTCCTTGATCCTTCCTGTAAAATACTTTCAAGTGAATGATTTTTAATATATTTTCTTTACACAAGCTGCTTCCATAGAACGTATGACAGGTTGGTCGTATGGTGTCAGCTGGTCTATTTGGTTCTTTTTAAATTTGGCAATACTGAACGAAGCGCTACAAGCACAAACTGCTTCTGTGCTAAATGAAAAACAGCTTTTCCGAACTGATGGAGTATGAACGTCCTTAATTGGCCTCTAGTCACCAGCATTGTGTCGATGTAGAATTTTCCAACTTAAACTTTCTCTTGCCCTTGAGAGCAAATTATAAATTGAAGCATTTATTAAGCTTTCAAGTAATTAAAAAAAAAAAGAAGGCAAGCCACTTTTCAACCGACAATTTGTTCAAGTCCTAATAGCAGGAATACTGGCATGGCAGGAAGTGTAGTTGGAAGCTACAAGATTTAAATGTTAAAATGGAGGAGAAATTCTTCCCAGTGCCTTAGCTTGGCAGCCCTGATGCAGGCTCTGTCTTCACTAGCAATTTATGAGCCAGGCTCATTAATCAATCTACAAATTGCTATTTGCAGTGATACAAATTGGCTCCTCTGTCACACAGCGTTCTCTAGTTGTTTGTTTATACTGATGCGAATTTCTGTAATGCAGATAAGCTTTTCTGGCTGCTTTTCATAGTAGCAATTCATTCTTGATGCTTGTATTTTGTATTTACTTCTTGAATTTGAGTGCCATGTATGAAAAGAACGAGAAAAATCATGGAATATTTTAGCATAGTTGAATGCAGCTGAGAGCGCAGTATGTGTCTTTGTATGCTGTTTGTTCAATATCCCTTTCTGCAGCAGAGCATGGGAAGGAATATTGGCCACCATCAACACACAGCTGTTAACTAGAGACTCATTAGGCTGCTTTGACTTACGGTGAAGAAATTTGTAACGACTTTCCCACAATCTTATTGTTAAAAAAACCCCGAAAGCAGAAGTGCATCCTATCTGTCAAAGCATCCACAGACTCACCCTTAACCATTGGGGAGCAGGAACTTTTTGGGGCCGTGATGGCAGACAGCCTTCCACCAGCCGTGTCCCGAAGAGCAGCTTTAACCTGTAGGTAACCAGCTCATGTTTGTAGTAGTTGTATGTGACATCTTAATTTTACTTTATGAAACCGTTTCCTTGTTGCACCACAGAGAGCGCTGCGTGCTCTCCTGGCCCACTGACTCTGACAGCCAGCGAGCAGGTTGATGTGCCAGTTCAAGTTCTGACATTTACAACAAAGCCCTCTTGCTAACTGTTTATTAGATCAAGATGAAAAAGGCTTGTGTTCAGTTGATAGATACCATTGATAGCCGCTTCAAGCCTTATCTCTACTGCTCCAAAATTTTAACTTTGGATTAGAAATCTGAATAATCACTGAATTAAGGAAAAGAAATTTGTTTTTTCCCCATGTTGTGCTTCTGTGCCTGTAGGTAGAGATATTTTCTTGCTTCTCTTTCCAGCTGTAAGGACAAGAAGCCATCAATTTTGTGCATCCAAACTGAATGGGCAAGAAAGCAGAAACTAGGCTCAAAGTAATATAATAAATATTACACGTCAGGCATTGTTTTTTTACTTGCCTGAGATTATTTCTGGGCTAGTGTCTAAGCAGAATGATTACAGAGAGCATACACCTACAGCCAAAGGAATAGGAGGGGGAGGTGATTTAATGCTTTTGGAGGCCTTGGTTCTTCTTTAAGGGAGGAATGGGATGAAGTAAGTAAATGTCCTCCTAGGCAGAGCTTGGTATCTGTTTATATAAAGAGAAGAAAATAGATACGTGTCATTATCTTTGTCTTTCTCATCAGCGAATGTCTTCACTCACATTAGAACAAGTGAGAAATCTTCAGTAGGATTTCCTAAAGAAATGATACTTACGGAATTGCTCTCCCAGTCCTCTCTCCAGCAACGTTTGAAGCTACCAGCGAACATTAAGGAATTACATCCATGATCTCAAAGCTACTGCAATTCTACAAGTAAGTGGCTGTAGACAAGGAGAGACAGACCCACACAAGTGCTTCTGCGGCAGCACTCAGCATTTTTAGGTGTGGTACTCGCACACCTCCCTGCTGGTGGGTCTGCAGGAAAGGCCACAGGGGAGTTTGCTGCATTTTGCACATCTAACCCGTGATAACTGGAGGCGGCGCGAGCGCACTGGGGAAAAGAGGGTGGCAGAGATACCTAACTAGAAGCTCAGGAAGCTGCTCGGAGCTGTGGACAGAGAGAAGGCGGTACGTAGGTGGCCCTGGGACAGAATTAAAGATGTTGTAGAGGACTGCCAGAGACAGAAGAGCACTGCCAAGTCTGTTGAGGGCTGTAGGTGGATACGGTGGGAGGAACCTCGAGGTACCCTATATAGTGGCTGAGGACTGGGGCGAGTCCTGCAGCAGTGGAAGAGCTCTGTGGGACAGCGGGTGACAGGACTGCAGCAGTGTCGGGGCTTTGGAGAGGAGGTTACACGCTGGAGAACGCAAAGGATGTGGAATACAGACCTGTAGGAGACCAGCCTTCATTAGTTCATTGCTTATTGAACAGCTCTGTGCTTCTTGCAAACGTGTTCGTTATTTTCGGTTAATGAGTGTTATCTCTATAATGCCATTTTATATGGAAAATACCAGGAAATGTAAATGTAATTGGTGTTTTCAACAAACCAATGTCCACTTTCTTCTGAAATGATCCTTCTCATCATAGCTGAAATGCGCTGTATCGTCAGGGCAGGAGGTCACCGCTTGTCTCCTGCCTCGTTTCTTGCATGGGTATAACGAGGAGCGTACAGTCAGTCTGACACCTTCCACCAGCAGAGACCGGGGGGGTGTGTACAGCACTCGGGCCCTCATGCAGTGTCTCTGTCTTTTATTAAAGGCACTAATGCTATCTGATTTCTTTGCTGGCTGATGGTTGGCAGTATTGTAATCAGGACTTCCTTTTTCTCACATCGAGATAAATTTTAGCTCTGTAGAGTCCCAAGTTTGTTTTTATATTTCCAAACCTCTGACATGAGAAGCTATATAACCTAAGACCTCCTTAAAAGTACTAAGTGGGCGCACTGTTAACCGAGCTGGCCAGCTAAGTTACATATTTATGCAAATGGAGTGGGTGCTATTAAGCTAACTGTGTTTGAATACACGGCGATTATGTCCTGTGACTGCACAGCAGTATGACTAAGGCCATGGACAGCCTCCGAAGTATGAGCCAATAAACTGCTTTGGCCAGAAATGTTATTATCTGAAATATGCAAGAGAAGTGGAAGATGAAACTGTAAAAGAAATAAGATACAAAAATGGTGTATTAATCATAAGTGCTTGGACATATGTCGCCTGTCGAACCTCACGCGTTCACAACGTGCCTGTTGTGACCGGAATTTTACAGTGTCTGCCCCAAGTTGTATTTGTGCAGCACAGCGAATAGCTGCATTTGCAATGAATAAGAAGAATGTAAAAAATGTTAAATAGTGTTTTATTGCAGATTTAGAATGAGAAATGACCCGTAAGCCTGCAGAGTAGTGTTAGTCAAAAATATTTTAAATAGTTGTGCCTTGCAAAGGTAGCCATTCAAATCCAGTGTGTTCGGTCTACCAGAAGATGGTGCCCTAAAACACGTTCAATAATTCCAGTTTTTAAAAGCTGTGATTAATTGCAAATGAGTGTTTTAAAAAACGTGTCAGAGCAAGGTGATCTGCAAAAAAACCACCCAAGTCCAAATACATATTAATACCCAAACTTCATATTCCATAAGTCTTGCTTGAAGTTATCACAACATAAATTTACAAAACTCAAACAAGCAAAACAAAGCAACATAAACCACAATACAGCTACCACTCCAAAGAAAATAAAAACTTCAGTCCCCCCTCCCGAAATAAAAACATTTCTCAGCGTAATTTTTGTATGAATTTCACAAGTTTTTTGGTGTGTTGTTTTTTAATTGGGCTTAAAACAGACCAGAGAAGAGTAATAATCATTACATTCCTCACCAAGAAACCAATCAATTTTAACACTGGAAATGAGAACAGTAAATCCCTGAGTACCAATAAGTCTTATTTACCTTGTGGACTTCAAGGTATAATTTCATTGTTTTCTTAACGTTGGACACAAAGAGGGAAATTGCAAAAAATCAGGTAGCATCCAACTCAATAAGCAAATCTGTGGAGCAGCTTCAAATTGTTAAATTGATGAAGTGAGACAAAGAAGTCCCTCCTGCATTGCGCCAGTAAACCCGCATCTGACACAACATACGCCGCAGCACAGGTCAGTGGGGTTTTGGCACTTTACCGGGGCTAAAGTTTCACCGGTAAACTCTTACATTTACAGATTCTCTGATTTGTTGGTAATAAACCGTTTGCAACCGTGGGAGAGAGAATCCCCAGCAGACCATCGGGTCTCCCTGCCTGCTGGCTCGGGCAGCGTTTCCTTGAAGGCGCAGGCAATTAGAAGAAACAGGAGCGCACCGCCTGTGAGGCCCGGCCAGCTGATATTCGCAGATCAATAACTCCACCTGGCTTTTTCGCTCCCTTTAAGTCTTAGACAAAGGACTTTATTTAACAGAAGCAGCTGGCTTTCCTTAATATCTGTACTGATATAACTTAAAATCAGGCATAAGGATTAGCACACCAAATTAAGAAATTAAGTTCAGCTTTTATAATACCCTATGACAGCTCTTAGTTGTGCAAGTGGGAGTCTTTTTGCAATGTATAAATTTTACTGCTGGTTGTTAAAATTAAGCAAACGCATTTAAAATAAACTGGGGAGAACAACGTTTGGATCGTCAAGCAGTAATTGCCCAGTACTTTGGGTGTTCTTCTATACAGCATGGAGGAGAATGAGGGGGGTGCTTATCACCGCAACAGCAGCTTTAACTCCGCGCTTTTTGTTTGCACAGCCCGGCACATATGGTCCTCCGCGAGAAATGCAGCAGCGCTCGAGTGTGCGACGTACCACTGCAAACACATTTATTTCACCCATGTGGGCCGCATATGTCGCTACAGTGTGGATAAACGTTATGTTCATTATGTGTACGACAGAAGTACGATTTACTGTTGAAGAGCGGGTCAGCAGAATCGCCCCTGCAGCAGGGATGAGATGGCAACGCTGCGCAGGGACACCACGGGCCGGGGCTGCAGCAGCCCGCGCTGGGCCTGGCTTTCGGGATTTACTTACTGAGCAAAAGCTTTCAAGAGTAAAAGTAAGTGTTTTTTATCATTTGATCCACACTGCTTACTAAAAAGGGCTGTTTCCCTTAGATTCCCCAGATTCTCTCGGTCCCCAGTATGTTCCTCCTGTGAGTTCATACTCAACAAAGCACATGCTTTAACAACTTAGGTACCAAGAGGTTTACCGTAGAAACTTGCTACCTGCTGGCAGCCGCAGCCATACAGAACTGTGCTGCCTCAGAAGGTGGAACAAGGGCAGATTTGTGGCTCAGAAGGACGGAGCTACAGGACAACGAGCTCCTGCTGTAGTAGCTTACGCCTCTGACTTCGCACAGCATTGGCTCTGCAGTTCCTACGGTGAAGACAGCTGCTCAAAATGCTTCCTTGCATGAGCACACAGGCAGAGCCTCCCAAAATGTCCTACCGACTCTCTTAGACTGATAGTAAAGTTACCTGGTGTTGTAAAGTTAAAAAAAAAAAACACGACAAAAAACCCCAAAACAAAACACCATCCAAACTCCCCCTTAAAACAGAGTAAATTAATTTTTCTTTACATGTGCTCTGATGGACCAAGTTCGCAGGTGGCCCATGAACCTCTCCTAGTTTCTCAGGAAGACAACCTAATAAAAAATGGCAGTAAGTGGTGCAAAGGCAGTAATGGCACAGAATGTCCCAGTACGGGCCCCAGGGAGGACGGAAGACAGAGCTCTGCACCAGCACACTTGAAGGCAGCAGCCCGTGAGACACCTACTGCCCCAGAGGAACTTTGAGCAGGAGTCCCAGGTGGGGTAGATGAGGGATGAAGCTAATGGTGACTTCCAGGGGTTCTGGGGAAGGGACTTCTCCTTGTTCTTAGCGGGCAGGTGCCCACGCTCCGTGGCTAACAGCACAGTTTGTCTCTTTGCTGACAGATTTCCCAGAAAGTCCAAGGCTTGACCAGGACAAGGACTTGAAGTGCGGCTTTGGTCCCACTGGGTGCCGGAGCACGTTTGCTGGAAGTTTCTCTGGTGTTGCCGAGGGCCGACACCGCGTTAGCTGGAGCAGCGATGGCGTGCACCAGGACACACAACTGCCAGAGGCGCTTTCCACCATCCCACGCCCGCAGATGGGAGGTGAAATGTAACTCCTTCCACAAGTAGCAAGCTGCAGAAGCACATGGTGACACCTCGTTTAGGAGACGGGCAAACGAGCAGAGAGATGTGAAGACGTATTAGAAAAGTGCAGTTGGCTTCCAAGATTTTGTTGTACTTGCACGCGTATGTTCACACTGACAGTGGACGACCTCTCCCGTGCCCGATTTATTTCTCAGGTCCGGCTCTGCACAGTTATGTGATTTGCTGGGTGGCTTTTTTTTCCACCCGCACAAACAAACAGGTTGCCAATCGCTTGCCCGCCACAGCTGGGGACATTTCTGAGTACACAGTTGCTTTTAATGTTTAATTAGGTATGATAACAGGATAAAATGTTCTTGGCATGGCAGAGCGCCTTCAGCCCCAACCTGCGTCGCGTTCCCCTCCTCGCAGGGCGCTCAGCACCCGCAGCGCGGGGACGCTGCCACGCAGGTACCTCTCGTTAGGCCGTCCTCAGCCTTTCTGCCATCCACACAGCAACGGTCGGTGGTCTGCACCTGAGGTGCAAAAAGAAATTAAACTCTAGGTTACAGTTTGGTACGGGAGGCCTCAGGTCAGTAGCCATTTCTGAGGTGTTTTCCGATCCGATGGCTTCTTCCGTGTGTACAGGGATGTAAACGGCGAGTGCGGTTACACAGACAGTAGTGTGTGTTTTTAAACTCTTGTCAATTCAGATTGCTTTAGGCCACAATATGTTTATCATATGCCTTAGTACTGCCTATTTATTTTTTTTTTAAAGACTAAATAAATAGCCCCAAATAACCATCAGCTGCCGTGCAAAGCCCACGTCCTCTCCACACACCCCCGGCACCGGGACCCCGCACAGGTGGGACA